TTTAATTTCTTTTATCAATCATTTCATTTGGATACATCCATTCCATTCTATTCATGTGCCAAAGAAGACAAATAACACTCAATTATAATAATTGAAAATTTGAATTTAAGACTGGGGGCTCATTTGATTAGGGAAATAACCTTTTTTTTTTTGTTAATTTATAAAAATAAAATAAATTATTAGGAGAGTTTGACTTATTAATAATGCATATTCTTTATTTTTACTAGCTTTTCTTCCATGAATATAATAATATGAAACAATGTGGTAATAGTTAATCACTTCTTTTAAAATTTAACTATTCTCTTTTAACATAGACTTATTAAAAAATTAATAAACGTAAGAAATATCATATAAAAAAATAAAAGGAATAAAAATTCTAAATAAGCAATGTTATTCTTATAATTAATCAAATTTTATACTAATTTTATATATTGATTTAAAAGAAATAAAGACAAGAAAAGAGATGAGTTTTTTTTATTATCAATTAAATTATAATATTTAAAAATATTTTAATTTAATTAGATTAAAAAAAAAAAACTTAACTCCTTTTTCTCCTCTTTTCAAACTAGACATATTCTAATAAATCTACATTTCCATTGAAGGAGCACAAATAGTTTTAAATGTCAAATTAATAGGGTTTCATTGGCTTTTTATAAGTACTACCTAATGACCCTGAATTCGCATTTCTTGTTGTGATTTATTGGTGGTCACTGTAATCCTAATGAGCTGTTGGTGGATTACACCCCTGATTAGTGGTCGAATCTTATCATGAATAAATACTAACTTAATTTTTAATTTTTAACTTTTAATCATTTTTATGTTGAAAAAAAAATCCAAAATTCATTTTTCTTTGGACAATGCAATGAAATGAATTGTTTCGCTTTCAAGGAATAAGAAGTTCGGTGGTCATGAGCTGGCATGTCTTCAAAGAATTTAGCTTTCCATGCTGTCCTGTTAATAGTCTTCGGGATGGATTGAACCGGACTTTTTAAATATAATGGTTTGACTTCAAATCCTAAGTATTTAAGTGAGGTGATCAAAACTTCAAATTTTATTACCGTCGTGAATTTTATCAAAAAATTACTTAATGGTCACATGCCTCATTTGAGAGGGTGAAATGTTCATCCAATCTGAAGATCGACTTTCTAGTTACTAATAACTAATTCATATTAATTTCTTAATCATTATTCTTATAAAAAAAAAAATCTTCCGGATGGATCCATCATTTTCCTCCCGCAGGACCCGCACTTATCCATCTAATGTGAAAGGGAGTTGGCAATAAAATAATAACTA